GGGAGTAAAGGGGACAGAGCCCCAGGGAAGACTCACCTAACCAGGTGGCATGTTTTCACCTGGAGCGAACTGGAGTTGTCCTTCCGGGATTGTTGATAGGTGAAGGAGAGTTAAGGAAAACAAGGACGGAGGCTAATTCGAGAAAGGGCGTCAGAGGAGAGCCACGCTCTGAAAGGAGGCTGAGGGCGGGGCCTGGTTCTAAGACAAATGCTGGGAGCAGGGCGGCCTGGGCCAAAGCTCTGGACAGGAGGTGCAGGGAGGGGCGAGGCCTAGGCTTCGGGAAGGTGCATGGGTGGGAAGGGGGCTCCGTTCTGGGGGAGGACGAGGGCAGGGCCTGGTTCTGGGAGAGACCAAGAGGCGGGACAAGGGCTGGGAGTGGGGGCCAGGTCCTAGACTGTAAGGAAGAGGAGAGCAAGACTAGGGCTGGGAGGTGGGTGGGGGTCCAGCGACCTGAGGAAAGACGGGGTGCAGCCTAGGCCCCAGAGAGCCTCCTGGCAAAGCTTGAATTCTGGGACGTAGGAGGGGCCCCCGCTCTGAAGTGAAGCCCTTACTCTGCCTGGATTGGGCATCTGGGAGCTCATGGCCTCGGACTGCAGGGCCCTTGGCGAGGCCCGCGAAGGATATATGTGCAGCAGTTTTGCCGCCAGCTGGGAGGAAGGGATGTACCAGGGGTGCATCATGAGGAACATGCGCACCAGCTGTGGGTCCCGCACCTTCCCGGAGTCATCTAACTCCGAGGGATCAAAAAGAAATGGGTTGAACCTTCGTCCCCACCTGAGGTCCCTAAACCCTACCCCACAGCCCTCCAGGTATCTGTCTCCCCGCCCACCTCCTGCTTCCCCAGGACTCAAAAACCAGGAGGCAGATTGGAACGAAAAGCTAGGGTGGCAGGAAAAGACAGGATCCAAGGAACTGGAGGAAGGGAGCATGAGCCGGGGGCATGACCAGAGGGGAACCAGCTGGGGCGGAAGGAGTCTGGGTTCCCTGGGGTCAAGAATCCAGAGGTCATTTCCTGAGTGCTGGGGGGAAGGGATACCCCTGCACCAGATACGACGCCCCCCATCAGCCGGAAACAGCTCCCAGGCCGGAGATGGAGAGTTCCTGCGGATCCCCCAGGAGACAGATAATGGTCCTCCAGTTAGAGTCTGGGGACCCGTCCCTCCCTCCAAAGCCGACAGACTAGGGAAGGGAAACATTTTATCTTTCTGAAGCTTGTGGATCTCTCTACCCTGTTATGAAGTGGAGGCCTTCGTTAAAGAGGATTCAGGATGGAGAGCTGGGTGGGTCTGGGCCAGGGGTCTGACCTCGAAGGCAGGGGCAGGATTCAGGCTCCAGGCTGGGCTCGGGCTGGGTGTGCCCTCCCGTACCACTCACCGAAGGCTTCGATGCAGCCGCGGAGCAGCTCCTCCACAGTGCAGCCCTTGTCCAGGTCGAGGATGCCCGCCATGGCCGCTGGTGCGGGTAGGCTGGGGCCAAGCTGCGCTCCGACAGCCTCCCACGGGGCTCGGACCGGACCCCTGTACCGCGAGAGGCAGAAAGGGAGTCTGCGGAGGCGCGGGCCGGGGGAGAGGCCCTGCGGGCAGGAACGGGGCGGGGTGGGCACGCCCCCTGCTGGGCAGGGGCGGAGTCGTCCACCGCGGCCACTCCCGGGGTTAAACGGTCTGGCCCAGGATGGTGCAACCCACTAGTTGGGAAACGGACCCGCCGAGAGCTTCCGGCCCACCCTCGGAGTCGCGGGAGGGCCGAGGGGCTCCCCGGGGATGCAGATGAGCCAGGACTCCGGAAGGTGCTTGGTGCCCCAGCCTCCCGTAGGCCCTCTTCTCCAGGCGTCCTCTCCCTTAGAGGCACCTGCAGCACCCCGCAGCTCGGCTCTGCGCCCCTCCCGCTTCTCTCCCTCCACAGCCTCCCTTCCCCCGCAGGTTATTTTGGGAACCCAGAGCCTGAGGGGACCTCGGAGGAATTTCTCCCTGGGATGAGGAGAGGGAGGAACCCAGGCGTCCTGCCCGTATCGCCCTCTCCCGGGCTCCCAGGGAGGGAGGCGGGGCCGTGGCATCCCCCAGGGGCCTGCCCTTGGGGAGGCGGGCTGGAGTGAAGAACATTCCTGGGGCTGGGGTTGGGGGAGAGCCGGGAACCCGAAGAGGCCCAGAGGCGTCAGCGGAAAGCCTGAGCCTGGGAACTGCGCTCTCCCCAGCCACCTCCTCCATGAAGGCCCCAGGGGGTCACGCCTCAGCCCTTCCGCAGGCCATTTTCCTCCCCAGCACCAGCTCCAGACCCAGGCCCCGCATACAGCACAGTGGAACAGAGCTCACCACTCCCGCCGGCCACACTCGGGACACACAGAGTAGGGTGCCCAGAAGGGGGCGCTAGCGCCGTGGGGAGGGGGAGAGTGCCTGTAAGACTCCACCAGCAACTCCAGTCCCTGGCGGAATCATAGTCACTCATCCAGGGACCATGATTCCATACACGAGGCCAGGAACCCACAGTGGGGTGCAAGACGCCCCCGCTCACGTACACCCGGGCCTCAGGCACTTGCCTCCCATCCTCTGTCTCTCACAACGGCACACAAACCCGGCACACACCTGCACAAATGAACCCTAGGAGCACATACAGCCATCTCTCTAACCCAGAATTGCAAACCAGTTGATGGGGCCGCCTCCCAGACCTGCGACTCAGTAGAGCCAGATAAGCCTTAAGTTCCGCGGCCACAGCGGCGCTGACATCCGCACACGTGTGCACACACGCAAGACAGTGCACCTACACACATGTACATTCTCCCACACAGGCACACACCCCCGCGGGTGTGCCCACACGCCCATTCCACCGCCCCCTGCCTTCATCCTCAGTCCAGGGCCAGCCCTGTGGCCCCAGAGGCCCTGACATCCCTCACCCCCGGACGCTGGCAGAGCACTGCCCCACGGAAAGGTACCCCGCCCCTACACCTACTCCCCCGGGCGGGGCGGGTGTAGAGGGTGCTCCTCTACGGAGTTCTCTAGTGGACTTTTCCTAGGAGCTACCCAGAGCCACCCCCGCCTGGCTCTGCCACTTCCTCGCTTGTGTGACCTTGAGAGTCACTTGGCCGCTCCAAGCCTCAATTTTCTCATCTGTCAAATGGGAAGTCCGCGGGGGAAGGTCTCGCTGAGACGTGGCTGGGACGAGCCAGGTGCGCCGCGGATGCCGCCCCCTCCCGCGGGTTGTCCAGGGCGCTTCAGCTCTCCGGCAGCGCCCACCTATCCCGGACGGGGGCCGCAGACTCCCCACCCATCAATACACCCACCTCCCCCAGCTCGCCTGCGCTGCCCTGGGAGGCCCTTAGGGGCCGGGTCCTCTGCTCGGCGACCCACTATCGCTTGCTCACTCACTCTTGGGACCTGCCGCCACACGGCCCGGCTGCGCCACCTCCGTGCGCTCCCGCCCGCCGGCCTCGCAGTGCGGCTGCGGCTCCCGCCAGCAATCCGCGCCGCGGCCCAGCTCCCCGCTGCCCCGCCCCCCCGCGCCGCGGCCGCCCCCTCCCCTCCCCTCCCCGCCCCTCCCGTCCGTCCCTGCGCTGGGCTTCGCACCGCAGGCTGCGCCTCCCCCCACCAGGGGCTCCCTGTCGTCCCGCAAGCCGCGGTCCCTGCGGCAGCTTAACCCCTCCCCTGCCGCGCCACCCCGGAGACCAGGGCCTCGCGCAGGGGCTGGGCCACTGGCCGCGCGTAGAGTGGGTGAGCGGAGGTCAGGCCGAGTCGGACGTGGAGGGGAAATTAAAGCAAGAGCCCACTCCCCCCACCTCAGACGCCCCTCTGCCCCCCGCCTTGCCTGGTGTTGGGCAGAGGAAGCTGGGAGGGGCAGGAAGCAGACTGCGGTGGGGAAGGGGCGCCCCGCCCAGCCCCCGGCCCGGGTTCCTGTTTTCGAGACAAACCGTTCCCACGGGGCTAACCCGGCCCGTAGCCGGGCGTCTTCCTGCGGGCAGCAGGGGGCACAGGCTGATGGAGATCAGAGGCGTGGGGGCCGCGGGTCCTTGTGATAGTCTGGGGGAGGGGGCTAGGACAAGGGAGCATTTTTGGAAGAGGGGCCTGTGGGAAGGGCGAATGAAAACGCGACTACCTGGATGTCTGGGGATGTTGGAGTCGGGGGCGCTCTAGTTCACACAGCAGGGATTGGGGCCCCCGGAAGCCTGGCTCCCCATGGGGCCAGATGAAACGGGGCAGCTGCAAGTGGCGAGTATGTGCCCGCAGCTTGGAGACTGAGGGCTGGAGGCCTGGGCCCCGAGCAGGCAGGAACTTGGGAGGGGCAGCCGCAGGCCGTTGGGGTCCCCACAAGCGGAGCCTCGGGGAGCTGGTAACCGTTTCCGGCCGTTTGGATCCAAACACACTCACTGTGAAACCACCGGCCCCAAACCTGCCTTCCCGGGCTTGCCCCTCCCTGCCTCAGGGCCAGGGAGGCAAACCTCCCCCACACCTCAATCTTGGTAATGCAAGGACTAGAAACAGGCCCTTTCAGGTTCAGTTTCCCCTAAGTGAGTGGGAGGCAACACTGGCCAAGCCCGGACGGTCTGTGAATGTCCCCCGCCCTAACACTGCCCCAGACTCCGGACCAAGCGTGGCCACCTACTTAGAGACCCTTAAACGCCGCAGTAGGGCGGGACTAAGGGCGGGGTCAATAAGGCACCACCCACCCACAGGCTCCTCCCCCTCCTGAGTCCTGCCCGCGACAGCGTGGATCCCCGGTAGTCCCGGAGGCCTCTGCCCAAGTCCCAGCTCCCAACTCCGGTGGGCCCCACCCAGGCGGGAGCCCCGCCCCCGGCCAGCCTGGCAGGCCGCTGACCTAGTATGGACACAGCACGAAGGGAGAGGCGTGGAGGGTGACGCCTGGAAGGGAGCTGGAGAGCCCCGGGTCCCGCCCCCGTGGGCCGCCCCCCCGCCGAGGGGACGCACCTGCAGGGTGCGGGGGTATGGCACCGTGACTGCGCAGCTGCTGTTGTGCAGCCCAGAACTAAAAATATTTCCCAAAAGAGGGAGGAGTAAGGAGGCGCCCAAGGAGAATTAGTTTATTGAGAGTGGGTCCAGTTGGTCAAACCCGTAATAGGAGGGGCAGGGCTCTGGAGGCAGGATGGGAGCAGTGTCCTTAGTCACGCTGGCCACTGAGACCGCGACGCTGGGGGAACATCGGGGGTACCAGGAAGAGGCTTAGCAATCTAATTCCAGTACCCCACCCTCTGTATGAGGAGCTGGGGCTGGCCCAAGGGATTGCAAACAGACTCAGGGTCTGCTCTGGAGGCTCAGATCTCATCAGGGGCTGGCAGGCGCTGGCGGGAAGGTTCTACACCCCAGATCTGCCGGGCGTACTCAGCAATTGTGCGGTCACTGGAGAACTTGCCTGAGGTGGCTATGTTCCGGATCACCATCCGCGTCCACTCTCTTGGGTTCTATAGGCCAGAAAGGAAATTTGGTTCACTCTGCTGGTTGGGGTCCCCACCTTCGCTTCATCCCAGCCAGGGCCACTGAAGCCCTTCCAACCCCTGGCCCAGGAGCTCTCACCTTATACAGGGCACTGACTTTCTCCTGGCATTTAATGTAGTCTTCATAATCTGCAAAAACTTTAAACCTGGAGGGGAATGGAGAGGCAGGAAGCTCCATGAGGTCAGGGGCCAATCCCATCCTGTCCCGGTGGAATTCTGGGGGCCAGGAGAGCAATGCTTTTTCCAAAGGAGCCAGGTTGCACCAGCCCAGGACCCCTGTCCAGCCTCCCCTCTGCCTGAGTCCCCTGCAGCCCAGCAGCCCTGCCTGCACAGTCCCTTGACTGGCCAGCTCACCGGTCATGGTGCATGAGCATGTTGACAATGTCCTTGAACAGGTCGGGCTGTTTGGGGGAGAAGAAACCACTGCTCAGCTGCTCAATGACCTGCCGAAGCTCAGGAATTCGGTCGTAGTACTCCTGGGCACTGTACCTGAGAATGGGAGACCCTCAGTCAGCACCCTGGAAAGGGGTTTCTGGCTCCTCCTCCAGAGTATCCCAGAAGTCTCAAGCCCCAGGGTTAAAACCCAGGCCCAGCCAGCTGTTGCCTTCCCTGGAGCTGCCACACCCCTCTGGAGGTCCTTTCCGGAGGCCCTCTCCCTTCTCTGCTCAGCTTCTCATGCCCTATTGTGTGGATGAGGACTCTGAGGCCTGGAGAGGGCAGAAGGGTAACTGTCAGAGCTGAGGCCCCAAACCAAACCCTGGTGCTCCCACACACCGTCTCCTTCAGGAAGGGCTTTTCTCACCCTCTATCCACATCCATCTGTGGCCTCACCTTCAGGCTCCAGGAGGAGCCAACAGGTATATCCTCAGGAGCGTCCTTACACTCAGACTGTCTAACCAAGCTCATGGCTGCCCTACACCCCGCTCTCCTCTGGTGCTGTACTTTCTGGGGCAGCACTTTCAGCCACCTGGACTCAAAACTCTCCCCATGGCCCGTCTCATCTCTTTCCTCCCCCCTCAGAAACAAAGGCTACCTGCCTGCCCATCTCTAATCCCCAACCCCAGCACTGGCCCCTCCCTGCACCATGGTGCCAGCCCCCACTGGTTCCCTCCAGCCCAGCTGCCAGCCTGGAGCCAACTGTCCTTCTGGAGCCTACTTTTGAACATGCCAGACCTTACTCAAAACAATTCCCATCTCCTTCTTGTCCAAAGGACCAAGTCTGAACTTTCCCACAGGAGAAATTCCTTTCAGTATTTAAACCCAGCTCTCAGAAGCTGCTGGTGGAGTGTAAGCTGGTACCAACTTTTTGGACAACAATTTGGCAATATGTATCAAGAAAAACTTGTACTTTCTTAACTCGGAAATATCCCCTTCTAATAATTATCTTAAGGAAATAATCAGAGATGTGGACATGGGTGTAAAAGGTTGTTCATCACAGTGACATATATACTAACAAACAGGAACTCAACCTTAATGTTGGACCAGATGGAACTGGTTAAATAAGTTATGGCATGTCTATAGGCTGGGACCCTATACAAATATTTAAAATATTTTGAAGGCTATTTAATGACATGGAAAATGCCTCATCAATGTTGGTATCAGGATTTGAATATATGTACATTATTCCCAACTTTTAAAAACTACATATACATACACACATACATATGTGTAGAAAAAACTGTGGCTATAAATCTAGATGATATGGATGACAGTTACTCTATTCTTTGTGGTTTTGTATTTTTCCAGTTAATGAGCATGGATTGCTTTTATGATAAGACAAAATAATACTTTAAGCTAAAATTTAAAAATGTAATGCCAGGCTCCTCTGAAGAATTGCATTTCTCACCAAAAACACAGTTGTAACTACTGTGTTCATGTTTCCCTTTTTGCCATGGCTGCCAGGGAGCTAATAATTTAATTTTACTTTCAATTCCAGAAATAAAATACCTCCTAGGATTAACATAATTTTCTATTCCTTTTCTTTCAGTCCTGTGTTACTTCTTTTGTTTCCCACAACATTAACCTTATTATAAGTTACCTCAGAAGTTTTCCAGCGTCCTCACCACAACTAAGACCTTGTGCAGCCTAGGTCAGCCTTCCCAGGCATGCCTCTTATTCTCAGTCCTACCCTCCAGTAGCCACACCTTGCTACCTCCTGCCCATGGACTGTGAACTTTGGAGCCCTTGACCCCCATACCCTTTCTGGTCAAGCTTTTCCACGTCCTCCACCCGCATGCCAAAGATAAAGAAGTTCTCCTCTCCTGCCTCTTCTGCCATCTCCACGTTGGCCCCATCCATGGTGCCAATGGTCAGAGCCCCATTAAGCATGAACTTCATGTTGCCAGTGCCTGAGGCTTCAGTGCCTGCAGTGGAGATCTGCTCGGAGAGGTCGGCAGCCGGGATCACTGTGGGGCAGCAGCAGGGGCCAAGCTCAGCTCCAGGAAGAGCCCCACCCCAGGTGGGGACTCTGGAGTTAGGGCTGGTCCTAGGGTTCGCTGCATTCAGAGTCCCCCCACCAGCCCTTGGTCTTCATCAACTGAGTCTCCCTCACACCACACCCCCCACCTCTGATTGATTCTTGCACATCTGGGATATAACCTGGACTGTCCATCCCCACTACACTGTATGATTTGAGGGACGTCAACAAGGACCTTCTCCCCTATAATTTCACCCTGTACTGCACAAAAGTCTACCATTAGGGAGACAGCCTCATGATTTGAGCATTGTCCTCTCCAGAGTCTTTAAAGTACAATATCCCAGGAAGAGGTGACGAATACCTCTTCCTGAGACTGGACTAATCAGAACCTCCCAGGGTCTCCCTTGGGAATCACCCCACCTTTCTCAGCCAGAGAGACACGGTAGTTCTCCAGGAAGATCATGCGGAGGCGGTCTCCCACCACGGGGTCATGGTTGACCACATCCCCAATGGCCGTGATGAGTTTGATGATCATTTTGGCCATGTGGTATCCAGGCGCAGCCTGCGGGACACAGCCGGCATCAGCTCCACAGCCCAACCCTCAGCCTCCTATTCTGCCACCCAGCCAGGCTGACCTCAAGCAGATATTAAAGGCCCTAAGCTCTGGTCTGTGGCCCAGCTTCTCACCTTCCCTCCAATCATCACAGTTCGAGGCACAACAAACTTATTGGGATCCTGCTTGATGCCTGTGGAGAAACAGACGGATGAAGTGTGCCAGTTCCCCCTCTGGGCAGGAGCTCCTGACCACACCCACCCAACCAGGGCCCGGGCTGGGAGACAGTAGCCCTGACTTGGGCAATCACTTGCTGTCTGACCTCTGATCTGCCACTTTCCCCATTTCGAGCCTTAGTTTTTCCATCTGTGGAACGGGGATAGGTCCATGTCCCAAGAGTTGTCCCAAGATCAAAGGAGATATTGATTAGGAAGTATGTAATATGTAATATGCTGGGAGGTACACAGAAGGGTGAACAGAGACCCAGAGCAGAACCAGCACTCACGGTTATACAGGGTTATGACATGGAGGCAGTTGAGGAGCTGGCGTTTATACTCGTGAATCCGTTTCACCTGGATGTCAAAGAGTGAGTTGGGGTTGATGTGGACTTTGTATTCCTTCTCTAAGTATGCAGAAAACTTTATCTTGTTTTCCTGAAGGCAGGGGAAAGGGGAGAGCTCACCAACAGGCCTCAGCCTCAGGAAATCCTAGAGTCTCATTTCTTTCCCAGGAAGGTAGAGGACAGAAGGCTCATTTGCCACCTTCATCCAGTCCTGCACCAGGGCAGACATTGCTAATCAATGTCAAAACTCTTGCAGTGAGGTCAGATGATGCTTTCCCACCAAGGGCTCCAGGTGACTTGTACCAATGGCCTGAGGTTGCAGGAGAGATGAGCTCTATTGGCCATTCCTGACCCAGACCTGGCCCCTCCAGCACTGTCCACTGCAGCCCTGGCAACTGTCTCAGGTCACAGTACTCCTCACCTGCTTCACTTTGGCCACATCCCGGATAAAGGCTTCATCATCCACATAGGAGAGCAGTTTGCGCAGCTGGTCCAAGTCTGAGATGTAGTCCTCACCGATGCGCTGTGGGCAGATGGCTGTCAGTTAGGCCCATGGTCTCCTCTGTCCTCCCTTACAGAGGGGTTCCATTCCAGGTCAGCCACACCCCATCCGCTGCAGACAGCTTCTCCCTGTCCAGCCTCCCGCTGGGGCATCATGTGCACATGTCCATCTCCTCCTCTCCCAACCTTGAGCTCTGATGGCTGACCCCACTGGACCCCAGCAGGCCTTCCTCCTGGCTTTTTCCTCAGACAGGCAATGCCCTCAAGGCCTTGGTACCAATCCCTGCTCCCCTCCAGTATCCCTTCAGATGGAACCTATTGAGCCACCTACACAACCATACCCAGCTGGTCCCCGCTATGACCTCTCACCTCTGCAATGACCTCTGCCAGCCCAGGGTTACACAGAACCAGCCAGCGCCGAGGGGTGATGCCATTGGTCTTATTCTGGAACTTATATGGCTCCAGCTCGTAGAAGTCCTTGAAGCTGCAGGATAGGGTTGTGGGGGTGTGGGATGAAGGTCCCCTGCCCAGAGCCCTACCTGGTTTCTTGATGAAAGGGGCCTGGGAATGAAGAGGGCTTGCTGTGTGTTAAGAGGGAGTCATCCGGGAACAGGACTGGATGTCCGGGCCATGGCGCTTGTAAGAGCTGTGCTTGCTGTGGAAGGGGACTGCTGGGGGTGGCAGGGGCAGGGGCAGTGAGGGGGGCACCTGTGAGCGACTGTAGTTTGGGTGAGTGGGGCCCATCAGGTGGGGTGGGGTCTGGGGAGCAGGTCTCACATGGTCTTCTTAAGGATCTCAGAGTGGATCCAAGCCACGCCGTTGACAGCGTGCGAGCCAGCGATGCACAGGTGGGCCATGTTGATGCGCTTCACTGCGCCCTCCTCCACCAGTGACATGCGTCGCAGCCGGTCTACATCTCCAGGGAATGCGGCTGCCACCCGCTGTGCCACAAGAGCCCAGAGCTCGGACCCAGGGTCGCAGCCCCACACCCCCCGAGTTCTAGCCCTACTTTCCCTACTAGAATCTCAGGGCCTACCTGTACACGCCTTTCGTGCCCACCTCCTACCCCCACCCCATGTGTCCTCCACTCACATTAAGGAAGCGCTGGTTGATCTCATAGATGATCTGGAGGTGCCGGGGCAGCAGTGTCTCAATTAGGTGCACAGGCCAGCGCTCCAGGGCCTCAGGCAGCACTGTGTGGTTCGTGTAGGCACAGGTCCTCACTGTCACATCCCATGCCTGGCAGACAAAATGAGAAGTCAGGACCCCTGGGCCTAAGCCTAGGGCTCTCCACACACACAGCCAGGAGCGCAGGCCCTGCAGCGGCGGCACCAGGCTCCAGGTCGCCCACCCCCTGGGCCTCACACTACTGTGTGTTCTGTGAGACATCTGCTCACATCTTTCCATTCCCCAGACTAGGAAGGGAACCCTGAGACAGAGGGTCAGGCAGAGGTGGAGGGGTCTGGAAGCCCACCTTGTCCCACTCCAGCTGCTCCAGGTCCAGCAGAATCCTCATCAGCTCAGGGATGGCCAAGGAGGGGTGGGTGTCATTGAGCTGGATGGCCACCTGTTGGGGAGGGGACACTGGGGTCAGTCTGGGCTGCAAACCAAGCCTGTGACCACTGTCCTTTGCCCCTCGAGGGCCCCCTCCAAGGGCCTGCTTCTCGCGCCAAGGTGGGGGCAGAGGCCCTCATGGGGCTGCCCCAGAGGAGAAAGGGGAAGGAAGTGGGTTATACGCCTGTTGACCGAGGATCCTGAGCAGGTCACCTCACGTACACACACGGCCCCCAGCCTCCACGTCCCCATCAATGAAATGGGTGGGGCAGGCTGAGACTGGAGGTCAGGGGCCATGGCACCCATGTCAGGTGCCCTCCCTGGGGCCTGGTACCTTATCTGGGAAGGCATCAAAGCTCGTGCGCACGGGGTCGCGGCAACCGAACTTGGAGGACTTGAAACGGCGGATGATGTCCTGGAGTGTGGCTGCCACGACAAAGTACTCCTGCTTCAGCCGCAGCTCCTTTCCCTCAAAGAACTAAGGACAGAGCAAAGGAGGGGGAAGTTAATGTGATGGGGGTGTGGCGTGACCGTGCTGTGGGAGGGGCCAGTATATACTCCCGCCCACACCAGGACTACTGACCGGGAACTGACCCCACCTCCGGAACCCAAGGGTGTGCTCCCACCAAGAAGTAGTGATGGGGGCAGGGGCAGGAGGGCATCATACAAGGACCAGGAGAATGGAGGAACAGCTCCTCCGAAGTGCCAGACCCTAGCCAGCTGCCCCTAGGAGTTGGGCGTCCTCCCACTTAAAGAACTGTGGGGAGAAACAGGACACACAAGGGCCAGCAAGACGCCCTGCATGTGACTAGGGCACCAAAGAGTATCCCTCCCCATCTCCAGCCCTCTCCCAGGTGCTGGGGTTTCCTGCCTGCCAGCCCAGAGAGTGACGTACGTTGTCATTGGGGTATAGGACACGAGAGATATTCTCAGCCAGGTTGCGGTCCAGCACAGCCTGGATGTAGCCCCCGACGTTGACTAAGGGACAAAAGTGGACAGGGTCAGGCTTGGGCTGAGCATGGGCCAGGTGGGGGCTGCTGCTGACTACCAGTGGCTGGACTCACAGTCCTTGAGGTTGAAGTCATTGGGGGCCTTGGCAGACCACAGGCGCATGGTGTTGACGATGTTGTTGCGGTAGCCAGGCACAGGGGTGTCATAAGGCATGGCCAGCACCATCTGCAGGGACACCAGGAGCTGGGCATCTGCTGTGTCTGACTCATGGGGACCTGAGAGCTGGAACTCCAGGTCCCGGCACCTCCAACTCCCAACCTCTGGTTCTTGTCCCAACTCTGGGTGACCACACCCAAAACTTTCAACCTCTGGACCTCATCTACTCAGGCCCCAATGTCTCCACCCAGCCCCCAGCCCTGTCTTGCCCAGCTGTTGAGGATTACAGGAGGCAGCAGTGATGAGCCCAGGGGCCAAGGTGGGGCTCAGCTGGTGGCCCCTCTGCAGTTAGGGGGATAAGCTGGCCTGCCTGGCTTGAGCACAATCTCAAGAACATTCCAGAATCATGAAATGGCTGGGAGACCCTGTGGCCCAGCTGAAGGGGACACACAAGTCAAGTCTGTCCAAGGGGGTTTATGCCTGTCTGACCATAGGGCTAATTAGCAGTGACTAATGCTGCCTCACCTCCCCCAGTTAGCAAACACAGCAGCAAACGCACTCCCCCAAGGGTCACTGCCCCCCCTCCCCCAACACTATGCTGCCCCTGAGGGAGGAGAGAGGAAGCTGCAGCTTGGAGAGGAGAGGGACTGGCCCAAGAGTACACAGCTAGGCAGGCAGCCAAGCCCCTGCCGGACCTTACTGTGGGTGACAGTGGAACAAATGCCCAACTCTGAAAGCCTAGAGATTTCTGAGCAGCCATCTGGAGGCAGATGACCTGCAGCGACAGCAAGAGGACTGATCCAACTGGGACCGGACACCTAGTTGGGCTTGAGGCTCCTTCTAACTTGCTGTTTGACCTTGAGCAAGTCAATTCCCCTCTCAAGACTTTATCTTATGTCCCCCTTTCAGGGCTGTTGCTTTGCTTCCTGTCAAGCCCCAGATCAGATGTCAAGCCACCATTATTACTCTTTTGATGAGTCTTGCAGGGTGGGAAAGAGCCAGGTCAGGCGAGGGCCATTACTGGAGCAGGGCAGTCTCTCTTCTTCCTCCGAGGCTCTGCATTTGCCCAGGCTCCCCTGTGACCCTATCTCCAGCTTCTCCTGGCATCAGCTGTGTGGCCCTGAGTAAGTCACTTAACCTCTCTGAGCCTCAGTGTCCTCCATTGTAAGACAGCACTGGGTCCAGTGGCCTCCGGCTCTTTCCCTGAATCTCCCTGTTTCTCTAGACGCCTCCTCCTCCCCTTTCCCCTCACCAGGTCCTCCCCCAACTCCCTGGCTTCTTCTCCCTCACCTGTGTGTCCACCCACTTGGCCCCCTGGCTGGTGTGCTCCACTCGGCCATAGAAGTGCACAGGCAGCATGAACTCAGGTCGGGCCTTCTCCCAGGGGTTGCCATAGCGGAGCCAGTCATCAGCCTCTTCCATCTGAGCCCAAGGCAGGTCAGGGAGAAAGGAAGGCAGTGTCAGACTCAGGCTCACCCCACAGCAGGCAGTGGGTAGGGAGGGGAGCCGTGCCCTGGTGTGCCCTATACAGGGTGTAAACTAAGGGCTGTGGTGTGTTGGTGGGGGGCTTGGTCCAGTGGGATAGCCAGTGGGTATGTGTAACACATGGTATGTGTGTGGGAGTCTGAGAGATTCCCCAGGTGTGGACCACCTGTTCCAGGAGTGGCCAGCTGGCTTTGGGGGGAGGGGGAAGGGGCAGTGATGCTTTCCATCCAGCCGGGGGCTTGTTCTGAATCTATCCAGAGATGGATGACAAAATGGGGGTTCACTCTGTTATGACTGGGACCCACAAGTTCAAGGCCCAAGGCTGCTCACCTGCCAGCCCCCACAGATCTTCTGGTTAAAAATCCCAAACTCATAGCGGATCCCGTAGCCATAGGCAGCCAGGCCCAGTGTTGCCATGGAGTCCAGAAAGCAGGCTAGGGGTTTTCAGGGAAATGGGTGTCAGGCACCAGCACAAAGAAACCCTTCTGCTCACCCCACCTGCTGCCACACTGCCCACTTACCTGCCAGCCGGCCCAGGCCCCCATTGCCCAGCCCTGCGTCCTCCTCAATTTCCTCCAGCTCCTCCATGTCCAGACCCAGCTAGAGTGGGGAGGGTGTGGCAGTGGTCAGGGCCAAGGGCCAGCAGGTAAATCCCACAATCCCTCGGACTTGCCCTATACCCATCCCCCACAGTACACACACATACCTGGTAGGTGGCCTCATCACAGGCATTCTCCAAGGCCAGGTTCACCATAGTGTTTTGTAGGGTCCGTCCCATGTAGAACTCGAGAGACAGGTAGTAGATCCTCTGCCCAGAGAGACAGATGGGTAGGGGATGGGGGCAGCGCTGCGGGCCAACATTCAGCCAGGCCCAGCTGGGCCGCATCTCCCACACTTCCTTCCCCCTTCTAGGCCCCATCCTGTCCTGGCCCTGTCTTCTCTCAGACTTTGTGATCCAACAGGTAGGGTTCTGATCCCAGCATTTCCTTTGACTCTGGACTCATGACTTTTCTTCTCTGAGCCTCAGTATCCTCACCTGGAAAATGGGGCTGGCTGTATCTGCCTCAGGGATTGTGGGTCTCTGGAGAGGTGAGAGCCCTTCCATGGCACACAAGCCCCTCAGCAGCCCATCAGGGAGTCAGGACACAGAGAGGCACCTCCAAGTGCTCCCCAAGAGGTTAAGGCCAAGGCCCAGAGAAAAAGTCATTTCCTCAAGGTCACAGTCACATTATGACTCACAGCTGGTCAGCCACCTCCTGTCCTTGCAATGCCCGTTGGCCCTCAAACCTCAGCCCCAAGAAGGGGGCGAAGAGGCACCCTGATCCAGGGTGCTGGTGATGCCTGGCCTCCTGGTTTCCTGGGCCCCTTCCTGCTCCATCCGCCCGCCCCTCCCCCACCCCTGCCCAGGAGTGTCAGGTTGCTGACATTTACTCATGACCCCAACAGACACTTGATCCCGCTGCGCCCCACCCGCGGCACAGGCATACCACACACACATTCAATGACACATCCTTCCACTTTGGGGCCAACCCAGGCCGAAGGGGTCTTCTTACCAGCAGCCCCTTCCCTCTCTGAGTGGGCCCTGGGCCTGTGCAACCATCCCACCTGACCTGAGCAACCCTAAACTGCTCCCACCCCAGGTTTCTTCCCCTGGGTTGCCCCCATGGCACCCATGGCACCTGGCACCCTGATCCTCCAACCTCAGGAAGGGGCCTGGAGGGACCCTTATTTTGCTGCAGAAAACCCTGACTTCAGGAAGGGCTGCCGCTTGGTCAAGATCCCCCAGCCCCCCTGGAAGGGCCCCCAACCCATTCCCCACATGGGGTCTCCAAGCAGCACCTTGGGGTCCTTCTCATAGTAGTGCTGCTGCGTGCGGATCCAGCGGCCCACCAGGTGGTCACGTACGGTGTGGGCCAGTGCAAAGTAGTAGTCTCTCGGGGTGGCCACATTGCGGTCTTTCACGAGTGTGAAATGTAGGTGCCGGTTAAAGTTCTTCTTCAGCTCAGCCACATTCTCCACACCAGCCAGGCCACGCACGCTGATTTGCTTCCTCTTCTCTTGGTCTGACAGGGGCCGGGACATGGCCGCAGGAGGGTGGGCTGGACTGGTAGAAGGCGGCCTCGGCGGTGCCTCCAGCCAGGGAGTAGAGATCCCCAGCAGCCTGGGGTTTTAAAGCCCAGCTCTGGGCAGCTTGCCCCGCCCCCCACAATGGGAGGGTCTTGGCCTGAGAGCTCAGGGAGCTATTTTGGGGGTGAAGGAAGAAGAGAGAGGGGCAGGAAGCGCAGTGCCTGAGCTCCACACAGCCAGCCCCAGCTCAGCCTGACTCCTCCACAGCCCTGGGCTGACCCACTTCCTCCAGGCCTCACACACTGGGGGCTTCTGTCTTCTGTCCCTGCCTTTTGCAAGGTCAGAGACAAGATGAGGCAGGCAGAATGCTGGCTTGAGAGGCCAGAGGCTTAACTGGAGCCAATGGGTCATGTCCAACCAAGAAGTTGGTCTGATTTGGGCCCTTCCCTAGGTTATAGATGAAGTGGGTGGAGATAGATTTTAGGTTCTCATTCGGGGATCCTTGGAGAGGCCAAGGACCTTCCTGTTGAGACTTGGGCTGCCTGCAACTCATTGTTCATGTCCATGCCCCAGTACTGATTTGACTTTAGGCTGTGTGACTTTAGGATGGCTGCTTATCTTTTCTGAGCCTTGAATGCCTTCATCAAATTTATCCTCTCAAATGAGAATGTCAGGAGGCCCAGACTTATTAAAACAGTTTGGCTTCTATTCTAGACATCAACCCAAAGAGACTGCAAACAACAGGCTGGATGACCTCTGGACAAGCTTCCGTGGTGGCCCTATACTAGGGGGCTGTTATTAGCTGCATGTGTGTGGGGAGACCCATGTTGCGGCAAAAGGGACCAGGACTCTGCAGGGTGAAGGGCTAGGAGCTGAGGGTCAGGGTGCCTTGAACAGAAGAAACATGGCTAGCAGAGGACACTGGGCAGGAGAGAAGGGGGACCAGGATGCTGGGTTCCAGGGGGTGGTCTTGGGGGGTTCTGAGGCAGGGACACTGGCCCCACCCCATCCCCCATCAAGGCTGAGCCTCCCTGAGCTCCCCCTGTTGCTGTCCCTCAAGGAGCTCTGACGTGACCTTTTAAGAGGGACAGTGGTCAGGTTACAGGCCAGCGTTGGTGAGGGACTGCCAGCCTGGAGCAGGGACCCCTGGGTACTGTAGTCCTTCAGAGCCCACAGGGGCAGGTGAAACTGAAGCACCCCCACCACCCACTCATACTACTGGCCAACGGTTTTAGGTCTCATGAAGCAGCTGCCAGGGAAGTGATGGGAGCCTTTGCCCACTCTCTTCCCACTTGAGGCTACATAGTGGACAGGTATGTAGTGGGCCAGAGTTTATAGCTGTGACCTCACCTGCAAAATGGGAACACCTACACCCTGGGAGTTTTATACCATTGATCTTCATGGCCTGGCAGCTACAGGACCTTCCTGTTGAGGCTTGGGCCACCTTCAACTCATTGTTCATGTCCATGCCCCAGCACTGATTTGACTTTAGGCTGTGTGACTTCAGGCTGGCTGCTTTACTTTTCTGAGCCTTGAATGCCTTCATCAAATTATCCTCTCAGACGAGAATATAAATCCCTCCCTCTTCCAGCCAACTGTAGATAACGCTTTGTTACTTAGGCAAAACCCAGAACCTTGTGCTATTTCAAAGGATGCCTGGGCCTCCCAGGATGATGGGTAGGTGGAGGGGAAGAAGCGGATGTTCCAGCCTGAGGACCAAAGCAGAGACCTGACAGCTGCAGGATGCATCTAAGAGCCTGTTTACCAGGGCTTTCTCAACCATAAGCAGGGCCGACCGACCCTGGGATTACTTGTGTGGAAGCCAAACCTCAAGTCTTTCGATTGCCAGACCCTGCTCTGCGCCTGCCCCCAGAGGGCATTGGCATGCTAGTTTTTGCATAGGGCCAGGCTTCAAAGTGGAGCGAAAAGGTCAGAAGAAAAACCAAAATGCACCTCCTACACAGATGTGATGAGAATATAGAAAACTCTCAAACTTTTTAGTGTTTTCTCATCTTTTTAAAGTCTTTTGTACATCATGTTTCAAAAAATGCCTGGTGACTCTGGTCTCCCCACAGCTCCCATCCTCAGCCTGGCTTGGCAGGGCTCCGAGGCCACGGGCCATTGGAGCTCAGTGGGCTTATGGCACAGTAATCCTCCAGCAAGGCAGCACCAGCTTTCTGCGCTGGCACCTAACCACAATTGTGGCAGCATGCCTAGGCCATCCAAGCCTTTGCATTGACCCCTAACTGCCTACAAGATTTTATTTTCTGGCTACTACGTTCCTGCCCCCAACAGACCATTTCCCTTGTCCTTACCATACTCCCCCAGTTACTCAATACTTCCCCAGCAGTGGGCCCCAGTGCCCACCTTTGTCTGCACTCAAGACACTTGTTGAACTGGGACGTCATTTGTACAGACGAATGTACTTTTGTTTCTCCAATGACCTTCCTTGTGGGTTCTGTTGTCAGCAGCCCCAAGTATTTTCCAGGCCTCTCCCAGGGACCCTTCTATTTTGCATGTCTCCACCTAGCATGATGAGACCTTGAAGGCTCACACTGCACTGAGGCACTTTGTTTCATGTCCCCCCTCCATCACTGGCCTTCAGAGTTGCATGTGCAGGTAAAGAGCTCTCAAAGTTCACATTTCCAACCTTGAGCTGACTCAAGGTTAATGTCTGACTAGGTTTTTAACCAGAAACCCTGCCTCATTCCTCAGATCAATCTTGGGTTTCTCCAGAGCCCTAACAGTGACCTTTCCCAACTGGCATTCCTTTCAGTACTTCGAGGGGGCGGGGTAGCCTGCTGCAGCAGCAAAAAGAGAACAACAGAAGCCCAGCCTTCTGCAGCAGCAGGGTCAAGTGAAGGCCTTTTCCTCTACCCTAGGTGTCTCCAGGCCGGTGGGACAGTGCTGCCACCTCTCCCTGCTCTGCCACAAAGGCAGGTGCTTGCTGAGGATGAGGGCCAGGCCTTCCTGCTGTCTCTCTTCCATTTCAGGGCCTCAAGCTGCTTGGAGAAAGACCCAAGACTGATGCCTTAGTCAGCCACTTTGTTACTTTCCAAAACCTTAACAAAAGCTGACAGCAGGGAGCAGAGAGAGAGGGAGCACAGGAACAGGGCTGGCCCCAGGGGAGAGAGACGAGGAGATAGCCAGGCTGTGGTTAAGTCATTTATTGATTTTATTTCTAAAACCCACATAGCGCCACTTTGCCTCTTCCAGAGCTTCAAAGAGCTAATTAACCGCCCAATGAGCCCACCAGGGAAACCAAGCTTGTAGGGGAAGCAATGAGGTAAGGCCAAGGTCAAAGAGGGTTGCCAGGCCCCAGGCCCTGCCCCCATTCCATCAGTTAAGGACAAAGAGAAAAGATCTTTCCCTCTTTCCTTTAGTCAACCAAAGCTTAGGATCCCCCAAATTGCCTTGCTTTTGAGGCTTCGTTAACCCCTGCAGGCCTATAGCAAATAAATGAAGGCATACTGGGTGGGGGACCCAAACACCCTGGCTCTACTCTGGATAAACAGCAGTGGTCAGCCCCAACTTCAAGCTGGTAAACAGCCCAGGCCAGTGGTCCCCATTGGTCAGCAAGAGCTTGCTGGCCCTTAGCCTCCCCAAAGGAAGGACAGGTCCCAACAAGCTCTCTCCAGGGACAGTGCAGCACATCAGCTGGGCAAGGGCCCCCCCACTACCCCGTGGAGACCTGACTCGGCTTTTCCTAGGGCCACATGGGTGCTGCCCACGACTCTAGACACAAGAACAAAAAAGCCTAAGACCCTTTGCAAAAAGGTGCTTACAAAGAATAAGGTGGGGTGCTTTCTCTTGCCTCCATCACTCCCTGAAGCTTGCAGTGCTGGCAGGCTGCAAGTCACCAGCAGAGAAAGAAAAAGCCACTTGGCGGTTTTAATTTTAGCTGCTCTGTGCCCAATAGGCAGGATTAGTGAGCTTGACCTTTAGTGCTGATGCCTCCATAGGCCCTGGGTCTGAAGTGGCAGCTTCAGGCACTAATAACAAATGAATCTCATCAAATGTAGGGGTTCTAGCCCCAGGGAAAGGCCTAAAGGACAGGGACTTGCAGGGGAGGGGAGAGGCAGAAGGGAGGAGAACCTGACTCTCAGCTATCAGCTAGTAAACAAGGGGGAGACAGTGGGGCCACTGGCACATCCGACTTCCACCAGCAGACAGGAGGCTTCTTAACATACCCCAGGCTCCCCAGGGAAAGGCTAGATTACTGGGGCCAGGTGCTCAGCACAGGTGGTACATAACTAACCTTGGTGCTGCTGTTGGTGGTGGTGGAAGGGGCTTAAGAAAAAAGAAAAAGAAACAGACCCCAAAAACCACACTGCTCTTTTATTCAATAGAACAACCCCCTTTTAACTCAGTTTTGAATCATACACAGAAAAAAAAAAGCCCAGAGAAATTTCTGCAGATAAACCAGTGTGAAGAGAACGCGCATTACACACTATTATCAACATAATCACTCCATGAAGAGGGAAGGGGTGTTGGGGGAGGCGGGGGGAAAGGAAGCAGAAAGAAAAACAAGGGACACTGTAAAAACATTCAGACGTTTGGGATTAAAATAAAATTTAAAGGGAAGCCTTCCAGGAAAGAGAGGAACAAATGGAATCTGAGGCAGATTAGGTGTTAAGGGAGCGTGGAAAGGGCTGTCCCACGGCAGACAAGTCTAAGGGGGCTTGGCTGGCCCCACCTACCACTGGCAGGGGTGCTAGGATGGCTGTGAACCCCAGACCTCAAAGTTAGCCCTCTACTCTACAAGGGTGGCACAGACAAAACTCTACAATTAAAAAAAACACAACCCACCACCACCTCTGGGAATGGCCATGGCACCTTGATAATCTTAGAACCAAAGAGACAAGCCCTCCCACTAGCCTGACATTAATGGCCAAAGCCTGTGCCTAAAACCATTTGCTCCCCTCTCCTTGGAAAGGTGGTGAGGAATGGAGAAAAGGGAAAAGAATCTAATTGCAGCAGAAGACCGGGGAGAGCACCTCCTTGGACGGAGTCTGAAGAAAGGAAGAGATAAGGAAATAACAAAGGAAAAGAAAAAAAAATTAATAAAAATTTCACGATATGGAGCCAGCG